AAATTCCTTATGATACCTGTGGAAAACTGGTAAATTTTACAAGGAACTCGTTATTTCCTTCACAATCACACTCTTCCCCACAAAACACAAAACTGACTAAAGAAGATAACGCCGAAGGATCCATGCGAAAATGATATTTTTATTGTGGTCACTTCTCGATAAAACAGAGAATTACATGAAAAGAGGTACTGTATCACCGACCATTTCAATTTAACACCTGCGCCGGGTTGTTCAAAGCTGGGTTGGGATAACCCAGGGCTAGTGCGAAATTTGAATTCAGACTTTGAAAGGTAAAAAAGCAAATTCAATTTAATTCTTTTTGTCTACAATATGATGATTGGATGATCCGCGTAAAAGTATAGAGAAAGTAACCCGAGAAAATGCTTTCAAGTAAAAGAAAAAGAAATCCGGGTTAAAATTTAACCTCAGGTTAGCGCTAAACGGCCTTCGAACAACTGGGCCCAGAATATTACAAGGAATTACACCAAAGATGACGAAATGCAAACTGAGGAGACAACGACATCTTGTTGAGGCTAGTTCATCAGCAGGAACAACATTTTACAGAACGGTTAAAGCCCTTTGAGCCCTAAGGGTGATCAGTATTAAATTTCTCCTTGTAATATCAATACTTTGTAAAATAGAGTGTTCATAAGAAATACGGACATGATCACAGAAGATGAATTTGCTTGATATTTTATCAACTTCTCCCCACTACTTCTGCAGGAAATGAATAGGGGCAACAAATGAGAATTCAAATTTTGAACCTAGGGACTAAAGGGTTAATGACTTTACTTTTACCGAGCTTCTCTCTGGTGTGATTGCATGATTGTGGACTTTCACAAAGTCGATGGTAAATGTTTCGTAGTCACGAAGTCCTTCAACTGCGTTGCTCTCTAGGTTTGCTCGCTTTAGGTTACTGAGACACGTTGACCTTGTACTGCTGATCAGAAAAGAGCTTGGTGCAAGAGCCTAGTGGCGTGACTGCGGTTTCTTTAGCCTGCCATATTTGTCAGGTCGTAAAACTGGTTTTGTCCGGTTTCAGACCAGCCTTCTCATTGGTTTAGAGATTCCAACACGGCATTTCTGTCAAATTGTTGCATTCACGCAGATATTGAGAGAACTTACTAAAGGCCGAGCATTTCCCCTCCCTCTTTGTGGCTTTTCTTTGGTCTTCAAAGATTTTTTTAAGTTCCTTTCAGTAAAATACAAACTACGCCTAAAAACGAACGTAACATAACTAGATATACCTCAATTTGGAGTGTGTTCGATTGGTAGTATTCCAGAATATTTAGAATAGCGTAGTTGTGGACTAGAACGAAAAGCAGCTCGAAACGTGGCCTCAATTTTGGAATTAAGGGTTTTGTCATGCCTGATTCTGTAATCGGCGTCAAATGGGGTGTATTATTTTTTGAGAACCAAACAACTGGATCCCGACCTACCCAACCCCTCCAGTCAATGTTGGTCTGTTGTTTTTTCCTACATTTTTTCGTTTCCCCCTTTTGAAGTAGATTGCAAGCAAAGTAGAAGCAAATCGTGATAAATGTCCCTGAGGACAGCGTGTCTCAAGCGATTTTATCGTCGATTGTCAGGATGGCTTCGTAATTTAATTCTCAGAGATCGAGATTGTTGATTTTCACAGTTACCGTTAGGAACGCAGCAGTAAAAAACATTGTCATTTTCATAAGGAATTTTGAATTTGGGACAAACCCGTGACAAGATACTGAAGTTCTTTAAAAGCAAAATGCTGCTATAATTATAAGCCTTAAGTTATATGAACAAAAAGTAGCACTAGTATAGGATAATTCTATAACTATTGTATCAGTGGGAATTTGGACTGGAAAACATCATCGAAATTTAGCCAGCTGAAGTTGTAATCCAGCTTCCTTCTCAATCGTATTTTTGATTACAGTTCCAGTGGAAAAACTGTACCCGCGCTACTAGGGGCTTTAATGCTTGACCCTAGTTTTACTCTGGAGGTTCTAACCGATCATTTTGGATTACAGAAGGGGTTATATATTAACCACATCAGGATCACTATCCTGTGCTGAAAGGTAAAGGTCCATATTTTATGTCAATAACTCGTAACAGCTCTTAACTGACAAACCTGAGGCCGACGGTGCCGCGCCAAATAGAACCACCCTCTCTTCATCAGTGTTCCGCTTTACAGGTATTCAAAGCCACTTAAAGCTACACGTCGATACGCGAAAAGGAAAAAGTCGGAACAACGATTTGAAGTCACACCTAGAAATCCAGCTTTGACCCTCCTGCACAAAAGGCCGCGCACTAAGAACCTGTACTAATCCATTCTCCTGTACTTGAGTTACTTCTACGCATGATATGGCCTCCCCAAAAAGAAGCAGAGATATCAAGTGTACTCCGAAGAAAGCGCAAGAAAAAAACATAGACCTGCCTACATCGTCACATGGTTTTAAATGCTGGTGTATACGAGCATGACGCCGTCTCATTGCGGCAATATTAATTTTGAACAAACTACAGCATGAAATGCGGAGGAAGCAAACGCGTACGGCGCCACTTTCTTTTATAGTATGGTTCTGTTTTATGGCAAAATATTGAGAGTTGACGGATCAAATAAATTTGTGATACATTATTGTATAAAGCAGATATTAATAAATAATATAGATAAATATGTAAATTGTACTCTTTGCCGTTTTGGACCACGTGTTGGATTTCTAGTTGTTATTTATTAGTTTGGTTTAAGCAGATAGTGTTCAAGTTTCCAGGGTATGGATGTTTTAAGACGAGTTTTAAATGTTTGAATTCACAGTTAAATATTGAAGTCTAGGACAAAGAGTAATACAAACAGGAAAAGAACGCTTGGCCAGAATTAGACTGAAATCTATGGTGACTGCAAAACAAAGGTTTGTCGCTTTCCCGATGAGGTCGGTTGCTACATTGCGGTGTTACTAAATTACAACTATTGTACATACCGATTGTAGCGAGAACCATACTGACAAAGAAGCACGTGTCCGGTCAAATCAACTCGACATCTCGAAAAAATGATCCGCTAAGCTCTCAGGGAAGATATAAAAAGAAACCGGTTAATATGTAAAGTTGACAAAGTTTTGCCTGCGTTCACCTGACAACATGCTCGTAATCAAACAAATGAATGACAGTGCATGGCAGTTTTGACCTGAAAATAATGGATAACCAAACGAAAGTTTAAAAAAATGGCTTATTCTTCCGCTGGTTCATATCAAACTGTCAACATTTTTCACAGTTCCAGACATAGAGACGACAAGAAGTGACATTTCTCGTTTGCACCTGTCCTCACGGTAATCAAGGGTGTTTTTTTTGGAGCATAATTTTGTCTTCACGACAGCGAGATAGTAAACTGCATGGCCAAAAAAACTGGCAAAAATGTTCTTGGTTTTTCAACAAGCTGTTCGCTTATACTGGAAGCATTTCCACCTCCGGGTATCAAACTTACCTCAAGTTACAATAAAACTCGAGTGACTTGATAACAACCTTTGAAGCCAGTTTCTTCTTTTTTAAAACAAAGTGTTTTTTCGTATTAAGTTCTAAATAGCTGCTAACTAATGAGTTTTATCCAAATCTTCCTGATATTTACTCTATTTCTCATTTTAAATAATTTATTTGTCTTCGTTATTAAAACATTTGTAACCACAAGAATTTAATTAAACGGACAATTCGCCGTCCAAGAGTACAGAAACGTTCCAAAACAAAAAATAAATTAAATAGCAACGAGTATTTTCAAAGCAGACTTTGCTTTTTTAAAAATTTCATATGTTTTTGTTAAATAGAGAATTTGCATAACGCAGACTTGATCTAGGCAGAATAAAAAAGTGTATATTCTACAAACAAGTACGTGAGTTATTCCGCTCCGTGGCAAGGCTCAACCTCCACTTTCCTTTCATTGCTGGGTGTGTTTTAATACATCCCTTGTCATAGCAACATCGTGGTTAAATTTAACACTCTCAGATTTTGGCCATTGCTCATCTCGGCTATCACACCCTGAAAAAACCTGTTTTTGGATTTGTCGAAGACATCCACAACGTACTTTTTGAAAAAGGGCGTTCATGTTAAATCAACAGAACTATCTGTTATAGGCCAGTTACACTCGTTCACTTATACTCATTCTATTGCAATTGAAAGAATACTCTTTCATACTATCTTCTTCACCTTAAAGACGAACCAAGTAAGTTTCGGCGAAACTTCATGTTTTATCAATCAATCACTTCAAAAAAAAAAAAATTAGTATTTACACGCATCGTCTTGTTACACTTTCTCATATGTGTTTTCAAAAAAGGAACTGAGGTATTGCATCTTTTAAAATACGTTGTAACGATTGATTCGTCTGGGCAGAACTTATCAGTGTTTCTTTACAAGAAAGACAAGGGAGATTCTATAATGGCTTTAGGGAAGGCAGACTGAGGGTGAAGCAAAAAACGACAAAATTCAGCCAATTTAAAAATCCCACATTACTACGAAAAGTGGTTTAGAGCTGGGAGGATTACTTACTCAATGGTTGGTGAAACCGGTGAAACCAAAATGGCGCCAAAATAATGGCTTACAACAACGGGATTCCCGCCTCCGCTTGATAACAAACTGCACTTTGTGCAGAACAACAAACTAGACACGCACATGTGACACAGAATTATTTAGGTCTCTGTCCATTTCAAAATAATTTTTCACGCTTTATCTCAGAGCCCTTGATTTCAGTAAACTCAGATTTATTAACTGGCATGATTTAAGTGTCTCTGAGAAACCGCCACGTTAAAACGTATAATCAGTAAAATGAACTTCTTCAAGTACAACGGCTGTAAAAAAACAGCGGGTGTTTTGTTTAAGGACCCCATCAACAAGAAGTTTCAAGCCGTTTTATAGTATGATTTATTTCATTTTCGAGAAGGTAAAGAAGTCAGTTATAATTTCAGTATGACGAATAAATTGTCCTTACTTAACAATTTAACTCCTGTTCCGGTAATTTTAAATGTAAGCGGCTTGGTCTACTCACAACAAAAATCTAAAGGAAGATGTGACTTACGAGTGAATTTTCGTGCTAAGTTAAAAGAAGTTGTTGCTTTCAACGATGGCTTTTATTCCCTACGTTGTTTTTACAGCTTAATGCAGAACTGTCTTTCCCTTTGTATGAGGGCAGTAATCTTGTAAAATATTTTATGACGCACATCTTAACTGAAAAACACGTTCAATAAACATTGTACAAAAAGTTGCATAGGAAGGCACTTCGAAAAACCGAAACCAAGATAGTGAAACATGTCATACAACTGTCAACAAATCATAGATAAGTAGAACCACAATTACATGTAAGTCACCCCAATTAAAACGCACTATTATAAACTTTTCTTTTATTTTTTTCACCGATAATTAAAGTACTGGCAAAATCTCTTGATAAGCAACTAATTTGGTGGGGAAAGGTACGTACCGTATAAGCACAGTTCCGCATAACTCATGATAGCTGTAAACTTAACTAAAAATTGCAAGAAGTGAGATTTAATCACAAGTTTATCTTGCGTTTTTTCCTCTTCTTTCGTTCAGCTTCCTCGGCTAATTTTTTCTGCAATGCTTCTCGTCTTTGAAGCTCCATGTCCTGGGTAAAAGACAAAAAGGGTATGATAATATGCAAGACAGGCAGCGCTACATTTGGGCGTTTCCACCTTTCTGATGGTTAAGATGAGTGTGGCCTAAAACGTGTCGTAACCTGTTTAAACCAAGCGTACAAGCTTTGCTTCCATGAATATATAAAATAAAAATAAATAACAATTTAGAGGTAGCACAACCATACACATAGCGGTTCTTCGTCTGCTGTTCCTGTTTGAATTGATATCTGGAAATGTTGGTTTTAGTGAAGAGGGGAAAACAGGAGTACCCGGAGGAAACTTTTCGCCGCAAAGGAAGGACCAACAACAAACTCAACCCATATATGGCGTCGACGCCGGGATTTGACCCCGGGCCACACTGGAAGGTAATAAAAGTAAACACAGAATGGAGAGCCAAGCAGTAAGCATTGCGAAGCCAAGCGTGTGTAGCTTCATAACCATTACAAGAAATAAACTGGGGGGGGGTGGAGGTAGACAGGGGAAGGGGATCCGCTAATAGTTTAGAAAGTGATAATGGCGTGAGCTTTTAAATTAGTATTTTAGGGTCTTTTAATATTTTTATTTCATCAAAATTTTAGTCTATGATAGTGGAATGTAAATTGGTCATATGTCAGTAAGCATTACTACTGCTCATCTATTATTTTCCAGTTTCGTACCTTAGAAGGTGAACCAGCCGGTGACGACATTCCAGACTTCGAAGGTGACGTAACAGGTGTCTTTCTAGGGGATCGCTTGGGTGACGTGGTGTAGGATTCATCGTCTTTTCCTAGAAGGGAGGGTGGAGGCAGATCGGTCCATGAAGGGGCACTGGGACCCCCCACTGCTCCGTACGCTACTGATCCATAAAGCTCATCATCATCGTCGTCATCATCATCATCATCATCCGGCTCTAAAGGAGGAACACCATAAAGGTTCTCACTGAGGTACAACTACAGGAACCCCGCTCTGTTAGGACACCCGCTTATAAGGGGCAGGAGGTTCCCAAGAAAAGATCATGTTTTCTCTTATTTTATTGAAATTTAATGCAGACACCGGCCACTACTTATAACGGACATTTTTATGTGACCCAGGTGAAACGCAAGCATCCAAAGTACACACCTTGCTTCACACTGGTTACTGCAAACTGGTGGGAACCTGACAAAATACGCCAATAGTCTTTTTTTCAACATTTAACATTCCGACCGTCCGACTGAGCCACAAACTGAAAGTGACGAGGATATCTATTTGCCGAGTTAGGATTCGAGTTGGATTTTCGATTTAGATTTTCGAGTTAGGATTCGAGTTAATATTCGAGTTGGATTTTCGAGTCGGTTTTTAGAGTTTGGATTCGAATTGCATTTTCTAGTTGGATTTTCGAGTTAGGTTTCGAGCTGGATTTTCGAGTTAGGATTCGAGTTGGATTTTCGAGTTGGATTTTCGAGTTAGGATTCAAGTTGGATTTTGGAGTTAGGAATGGTCAACTGACATGAACTTTGACATGAACATGAACTTTCACGAAGTACGATCAGCTTTGCAGAATTCAATATGTCCAGGAATGGTCAGCGGTTTACACATCGTCCTCTTTTGAAATACAGAATGTATAGAGGTGATCACGAGAGTGTAACAAGAAAATTTCTCTTAATTATAGAGAATGATGGGCTGAGAGCAGTCTCTTATTTTTCTCTGCAAAGTTACTGAACGCGAAACCCAAGCACGAGAGCCGCGATAAACGAGGGCGTCAGCCAAAAATGTCATTTACAGATTCAAGAATATGAAATATTAAAATATATACCCTATGTACATTTTTCTTGTCTACGAAAGAGAATTGTTGTAAAATGACTATCTAAAGACTACTAATAACAATTATAAAAAGGATCAAAAGTTGATAAAAAAAAAAAAAAAACTATTTAAAAATAATAATTCAAACTGATAAAAAGTTACTACTTAAATTCTGGCTTGCGCACTTTCCGATGTAATGTCAATGTCAGATATATTGGCTGCTCTTCTCTTGCTCCTGGTTCCTCTGAGACACAGCAAGGCTGATCGTAAGATGGCAAAGGATACTTTCGCCCTTATCCAAGATATGGTTGTAGCGTAGTCATCTCCTTTCTTTAACGCAAGTAGCTCTGCGAGGCGGCTATGGAATCTCTTGCATTCATCGGCCATTCCACCTGAAGAAAAAAGAACGCAGATTGCTGTTTGTCCCAAAACCCGCGAGCGTAAGACACCTTTTCTCGTCTCGTACCAATCCCTTATTGTAACGTAACGTCGTGGTTTGCAATCGCGCTGGCTGAGATAAGAACTAGACTGATTTTAAGACAAAAGGCGGGCTGCAAGTAGAGTGACGAGCTTCGGTGTCACTTATGTCGGAAACGCACGCAATGGCGAAAATGGCGAAAGATCGCCAGAGGGCTGGCAATTCAAATTGGACGCCAAAAGTGGCTCCTTGGAGAGTGACGATTTTGGCGAAAATTGGCGATTTCGGCGAAATTGTTCGGGGTGAGTGTCCCAGAAGACCTTTCGCAGCTTTATTCTGGAGGATCTGTAATTCTGTATTGTATTATTTAACGGTATTCGAATAGTGGGAGAATTAGGGCATTGTAAAGGCTAATTCTTGTTTGTAGCGGCAATAGATTCCTGATTCTTCTAATTAAGCCTATCGTCTGATTAATCTTCACGCTTATAGAATCGACATGGTCTGCCCAGGATACAGATTGGTGAAGTGTAACACCTAGATATTTAAATGACTCTGTTCTTTCAATACAAGTGCCTTCTAATTTAACCGAAAAGTCTTGAATACGATTCAGTTTTTGATGACTTTTAAAGATGACAAAATTACATTTCGATATGTACTAGAGTAAGGAGATTTCTGGAGAACCACTCCGACACCGTTTGTAAGTATGCATTAGTGCGACTTTCAAGATCACTGACGTTTTTGGATGAATAATATATTACAGTATCGTCCGCATAAAGAATAATATCGCTCGCCAAATGACAATCCGATCATTTACATAGATCAAATACAGTAGAGGTCCCAATACGGTACCCTGAGGTACACCGACAAGCACTTCGGTCGGTGCAGAGTGCGCATTGCCAACTGATGTGATCTATGACCTGTTTGTGAGATACGATCTAAACCACCAGGTGGTAGCGAAGATAAGACCTGTGTTCGTCAGCTTCTGTAATAGCAAGTGATGCTCCACTGTATCGAAGGACTTAGAGAGGTCCAGAAAAACAGCTCCTTTCAAACTGCCAGTGTCCATATTCTGAAGGATGTTGTCTGAAATGAGCCAAGGCTGTCCCCGTTGATAACTTAGGTCTAAACCCAAATTGTTTGGAAGTAATAATCTCATTGTTCCTAAGATGACCGTATATTTGGGTGTAGACCACTTTTTCTAGGATTTTACTTATGGTTGGCAGAACAGTAATGGGCCTGTGGTTGTTTGCAGCAACCTCGTCCCCAGGGCACTTTTCCCTGGCTTTGGAGCTCTGGGGACGAGGTTGTGTTTGCATCGCACTTTTCCAGATTTCCAAATGGAGGGGAAGGTGCAAGTTTCAAGATAGAGATTGAATAATCTAGTTAGACTGGCACTGATTACTGAGGCTGAATCTTTCTTTTAGCTGACGAAGAAAGTCTTCAGTAATTGGCTCGAAATTAAATTCACGGAGCGGACTCGGGGTTTACCGTAGGCATTGACAAGATATAGGACCTGCAAGACTTAAGCTTTTGCGCTAATCTATCTTATTGGAGCGTGGCTGTCAGCAACGTGAATAAAAAGCTTATTCCGATTGTTGACGGCGGTATCAATGCCCTCCTCGTTTAGTGCGAAGTGACATATTTTTCTCATCAAATCAGAGAACCGTATAAGTCTCCTTGGAAGCGTTATTGATTTAATTCAGACATCAATTGGAAATAAATTATTATACACTGATCCAATGAAAACATCACCTGGAAGATCTTTTTCCGCTAACCAGGCCTTCTTGATCATGACTTGTTTGTACAATTCACATGAAGCGTCGTCAAACCCTTTTGTTACAGAATCTTTCACTGCATCCTCGAAACCCTAATGGCATGGATGGACATTGCGTTAGCTTTTCTGTTTTAAAAATCAGTGGCTTCTCAATACAGATTATAATAAACCTTATTTGATATTCAATTCAAAATATTTCCGCTTTTCTGAATGGCTCAAATCCCACGGCAAATTCTTCATAACAACCTAGCGTTGATCACATTTGGAAGACGTTTGCGATATTTGGAAAATGCCTCAATTTCATTTGTAAAATTCAAAGGAACTTTTACGTTAAGATCTTTTGAAACGAGGCATTGCGGGCAAATCATTATAAAGACAAAATAATTAATAACTCAGTTAATCCATCATTTTGAAAAAACAACACCTTATTTATACGGGTACGTGACGACCGCGCAGCGAGAGCCCGCTTTGTTTAATCACGTGTCAGGGTAATCGGGTAATGGGCATCCCCCGGGTTTGTATTACTGTCTTGAATTCTCCCAACCCCTCTCGTGTTTATATCAGGCTATGCAAACACGGGAAACGTTTTCTGTTGCTTAAATAAAGCACGCTCGCGCTGTTGAATTTGATTTGGCGAATATTCTAGTTGTGTTATAAATCAAAATTTGAAAAAATATAAACTAACAAACGTTGGAGTCATATAAAGTAAAGAACAATTTCAGATGACATTTCGAAGAAAAAATCTGGAACAAGGTGTGCGTAAGGAAGGGTTTCAACATTTAAAAGCAGGAGAGTCACAAAAAATAGAGCTTTAGTTCAGTTTTTCAAAACAGCAACATGACTGAAAAATCAGAGTTAGCTGTAAGTACCTGTGAAAGAATCATCTTGCTGTTAAAGGCATTCTCGTCAAATTCTGAGGTTCCAAGGCTTTCTGAAGAATGAATTAGGTACTGTTAGATTTTTATTAAACTAAACTTAGTGAAAGGAGGAGAAGAAGAGAAAATTGCCATCACTGGAGAAATTAAAGGAGAGAATACAAAATACCAAACTTTTATAAAGTTTGTATACCGTCGGCACTTAAAATCGGGAGCTTAAATAACAAGAATACATCTTCAGGAGAAATGGACAATGTTGTATATAATTTTAAGGGTCACCATGAATCACTGAACTCATTAAAATCAGCATCACTGTACTCAGTATTCAAAGCAGGGAGGTACTTGAATATTTTGTTTTAAAACACATTTAGCCGTAATTAAAGACGGAATAACTATGAAAAACCAACATGGCTGACTTAAAGTGTACTTTTTCACCCTTAGCTTAGCGATGTAACATATATAAGCTCTTGGTACTTTCCACCTTATTGTTCTAACTCACCCTTAGTCAAACGAATAGAGATATGCAAACGCTATTAGCACACTGACTAATGAGCCATTTGAAAAAAAAACGATGAAAACAACAGGTGAACACAATTAAAGGCAAATTTCCGCTTAAAGGTTTGATATTAGCTCAAAAGGGGGAAATTTTGCGAGTTAGCTAGTAAAACAACAACTGTACAGAAGTTCAGAATTACAGGACTTAAACATTTTGCGCTTTCTTTCTCCAAAGCACAAAAATAGCGAAACATAAGGTATTCTTACTTCTTGATAACCTGACTCCCGACTCCTTATAATCCATGATCTCCAGGTCTTTTTTTCTCAGCAGTGTAAAAAGTTCAGCCTGTCTTCTGTTTAATTCAGCTATCATGGCTATCATTGGCTGTACAAGATGCGATCCAACCTTAAATAAAAGCAGGAAAAAACATAATTTAGATTCAAAAGTACTCGCTAGTTATGTATTTCACGTGAGACAAGGTTGCATATGAGATAATTAAAGTGCGCGAGCTTTTATATTAGGGAGCTTAGGCAACAACGACAGCGACGGGTACGAAAACGTCACTTAAAAAGGAAGCCGCGTTGCTTCAAACTTTATCGCGCTTATTCTATCTCATTCAATTTGTTCAATGTTGGCAATTTTTTCTGGAGGTGAGTTCTAAAAGACTGTACCGAAGTTCAGAAAGAGAAGAAGAAAGTCGTTGCCTTGTGTTCACGTGCTCCACAAAACGTGAAATTAGGCATTTTCATGCCGTAGTCGTGCTCGTGGTCGTGCTGTGACGGCAAAGAAATGTACAAAAAAGCGTGATGCACGTGCAGAGTTGTTGTTTTGCCAATCTAAACCGATTGCTTTTATGCCGCGCTCGTTGACGTCGCCGTCGTCGTTGCTTAGGCTCCCTATTAGGGATCTTAAGATGCGGCGACGGCGACGGCAACTGGAACGTCAAAAAAACAATAGGTTAGGATTAGCAAAACAACTACTTTGCACTTGCATCACGCTTTTTTGTACATTTCTTTGCCGTCACAGCACGGCCACGAGCACGACTACGACGTGAAAATGCCTAAGTTCACGTTTTATGGAGGACTTAAACAAGCCACTTGGATATGGTTTTTAGGAATTCAACGCCAGGAGAGTTCGCCTAAATTTGACAAAGTAAGTTAGTTGGAACTGTCGCGATGAAGATTGAATGAACGAGAATTCACTTTTTGGGCGATGTTTTCGCTGCCGTCGCCGTCGATCTTGTTTAAGGTCCCAATTACCTTTTCACCCCGGTAAGCCGATTTTCTCCAGAGAGGGTGATCGCGGGTTCGATCCCCCGGAGGGGCCGGACCAATACTCAAGGCCTTTTAAGATTGAGAAATGAAAGTCAGTTCCGCCTTTGCCCTGTAAACGGCTAGACCCTCGCGTGGTTCGGATGACCACATAAAATGGCGGTCCCGTCTCCAGTAGGAGATGAAAAATAGTGTCCTCAATTGGTCCTTTAATTAATAACGATTTGGAGAAACATAAACATGTAAAACCTAACGAAATAAAGTTCCGACGTTTCGGCGACATCATGGCGCCATTATCAATTATTTGCGAGTTCAAAAGGAGTTAAAGTACTCTAAATTTGCATGAATGAACACAGCTAGACAAAGACTTTAGTACGGATCGCGGGTGGAATCCGTTTGCACGTTCAGGAGGTCCTCAGGGACGGCGCCCGCGTGGTGTTTATTATAGCGTTTGCGCACAGAAGATGGTTTACTTTTGTGGCCATCCACGCGTGTAAAAAGATGCCTACGGTTATAACCAACATAGCTACCTGTATCGCACAGGTTACATTGAAACTGGTACACTACGCGCTGTTGATTAACCAGTTGTTGTTTGTCTCACTTTCGTGGAGGTCCTGGCCAATTTTCTTTCTCACAAATACTAAGTGTTAACAACGTTTGCCGAATCCCGGTCCTTGAAGGGTATGACTACCCTCATGGTCACCTCATTTCCCGCCATTTCTGCAGAAGCCTGCGATGGCTGCTGGTCAGCAACCTTCGAGTTGTTCGGCAGAAGTGGCGGGAAATGACCATGTCCTTTACATCAAACAATAGACCTTTTTACCGATACGGCGGCCATATTGAATTAATTCAATTTAAGGAGTATTATAGGATGCCCAAGGGGGCATGAGCACATTTCGTTTGTATTTTTGGGCGCTTTTCGGGACATTTTTCTTAAAGTTTTCTTAGAATAAGATTGTAATGAGAAAAAAGATCCTTGTGCCGTGTTTGGATGTACCATGATCGTCTTTTTCTAGTTTAGTATTAGAAATATGGTCTTTCACTGTATATTTCTTGGGAAAAAGGCGATCATTATTACATCCAAACACTGCACAAGGATCTTTTTTCCCATTACAATCTTATTCTAAGAAACTTTACGAAAAAATGTCCCGAAAAGCGCTCGAAAATACAAACGAAATGTGCTCATGCCCCCTGGGCATCCTATAATACTCCTTAAATCGAATTAATTCAATATGGCCGCCGTATCGGTAAAAAAGTCTATTAAGACCATCTTTGAACATGCAAACGGATTCAATCCGTGCAAAAGTCTTAATCTAGCAGTGTTCATTCATGCAAATTTAGAGTACTTTAACTCGTCTCGAACTCGCATTTATTTCCATTCCTTGATAAAGGCCTCATGATGTCGCCGAAACGTCGGAACTTTACTTCATTAGTTTTTACAAATTATCACTTTCGTGCTAAACACATTGACACTCAGAAAAGTGCTTTCTTCAAAGAACGTAACAGCTCTTGTGTGATCAGTAAAGCAGGAGGGAATGGCGCTTTAGTGCAAACTTGATTTCTAAGCTGGCAAATCCCCCCTTGCCCCCTCCCCCACAATTCGCTTGTTGAGTTTCCTTCCCTGTTTAACACTTTAATAAATACCTTATTCTCCTTAATTTTCGCGGGTTCTTAATTTCGCGATTTTCGCGATTTTAAAAAATTCGCGAACTTAAAGACCCGCGAAAAATAACGACCGCGAACTTTGATCTCGCGAAATTTAATGGACATAGAAAATCATGTATTTGTGTTTTCAAGGGTCCTAAACAAACACAAGGTGTTAGTACAAGGAGCTATCATCTATCAACTTTAGATGTTAGTTTTTACAATTTTTACTGATTTTTCAAACTAAACTAGTGAGCAGCACTCGCTTGTTTTGTTTACTTGTTCACTTGTTTATTACTAATTTTAGTTAAAACCGTGGCCCCAAAGTTTTCTCACGCCTTGCGTAAAAAAATTTCACAGCTGCGCCTGTTCCTTTTCGTAAATCCGGCCAAACCTTACCATCATTATTTTTAGTCATATTATGGCTTTAATACAGGCGTTTAGTACTTGATTGAAAAACTCCCTGAAGAAGTCTACGTTAGTTAGACGAAACGGGCAGGAGAATAAATAAGTTTTACAGCAACAGTTTGCAGAGTGCTGCTCACTAGTTAAGTTTTAAAAATTTTAAAAATTGTCACATCGCTAAAGGGTGGGAAAAGGCTGGCATCGCCCAACTATTAGATGAATCGTTTAGTCTTCCCCCTGAGAATCCATTTGAAGAGACTGAAGGTTCCATTAAGATCTCCTGGAAAGGACATGTAACGATACTCTCGATACTCGATGATGACTCGGAAGAACAAGAAGATTTTCTTTTATTACTGTAAGACTGACTTTTAGAGGAATACGGCTGTCGCTAAGGGACAGCATATTGGTTTTGTTTCAATTGTTGATTAACGTACAATTTTTGTAAAAAAGAAAAAATAAAGTCACTTAATCGTCTATTTCGCGAAATTAAATTCCCTGCAAACACAAGACTCGCGAAATGTGCGGAGAAAATTTTCGCTAAATTTAAGTCCCGCGAAAATAAAGGAGAATAAGGTACCTAGCTCTATTATTTCAAACAAGGACAAAAACGCGTATATATGACGCAAAAACTAGTTTCCACGCACAAGAATATTATATATTTTTTCAATACTGCTTCAACGCTCCAAAATTTCAAAAATACCAGCCTCGTCCCAAGGCCATTTTGCGCTAACCGAGTAAGCGGAGGACGCTTGGCACCAACCGCGATATTAAACCGCGATAGCGCGACTTCAGGAGACAAACTTGACGGGACGACTGGGAACGAGGCTGCAACAAACCAACTTTACAAATTAAGGTAGATACTCACCATGGTCTTCTCTCCTACTGAACAGTGAAATTCCCAAACAAACGGCACACCTGCATTCAATTTTGTCTTCATTTTAATAACAAGCTTATCGTCACAAGCAGCATCCTGCAGGATAAAACTTTAAGGGTCGGTTATTTAAACGAAGTCTAACTTAGACCGCGGTTTAGGTAATCTTTGGACTTCTAAATCTCGTGCATAGTGGGTTATTTTAAGAAGACAAATGCTTTTCTAGTCTACGCCATATGCTCTCATGAAACTGTTCACGATAAATCGTGTTTATATAAAAGCGTTCGGCAAACTGAACATGGTTTAGAACGCGGTTTTGTTAAACACTAGCTAAACTCCATTTAAATGACTGGCCCTAAAATTTCACTAAGTAAGGGCAATTCTGAATCTTAAGCTACGGAAAACGGGCAACAAAAAAGTACAACTTGTTTTGCAACATTGCTGCGAAGCGAGTTGGAGTTTTACCACACATAACATAACATAAAACTTTATTTAAACTCGAATTTTGGAGTAGCTAACAAGCTAATATCTTCGTGCGTTCAAACCGTACCGTGAAAGTTACGTGAACACTGACTACTGATACGGGAGTTACGTCACTGGTGGCAAAACAAAACGGGCAGATTGCACAGATTTTGTTTCAAAAAGTAGAACTACTTTTTAGTTTCTGCACAAACGTTACACAACCAGAAACAGCCTGATTTGTTACAAGACAGGTTTGATTGATGAGTGGTAAAACGCGCAGCATCGCTATTCAACTCCCTTTGCAGCAATGTTGCAAAACAAGTTGCATGTTTTTGTTGCCGATTTTCTCGTAACTTTAGTCAGTTGGATTGTTGCTGAGCCAAAGTGAAAATTAGAGCTTGTGGTTAACGAAATAATTGCAAATACCAAGACGTAAAAGGCGTCAACAAAACGTAAGTTGGCTCAAGCCCCGTAACTCACAGAAATACCACAATGCATAAAACAGTATCAATCATAAGCAACAAAATACATTTTAGTTATCAAAAACATGTTGGTTTTTTTTCATACGCAAAAAATGTATGTCGTATGTACGCCAGCTTTTATAAACCGACCTCAGTAAATGATGTTTCCTCTCTTTCCTTGTCTTCTTCAATACTCTTCTGCACAAATTTAAGCAAAAATGAAAGCTTTGCTTCAACATTTGGGTTCAGGTCCTGTTAGAAAGAAATGAACATGTGAAAGTCATGGCTTTTACTAAAACTGGAACTAGGACATGAATGGGGACATTAGGATGAGTGTACAGGGACTTGAGGCATGGGGACTTAAAGATACAGGGCATGGAGATGTAAGCTATGGGACACGAGGACATAATATGCAGGACATGAAGATGTGACTGCCTCGTACCCAGACGTATCTCTCTCTCGATGAAGATGTGCGCACAAAGGAAGGCATGAAGGAGACTTCGCCTGCCCTCTGTATCCTTCCCATGGTCCCTTGCGGGTCATCACCAGTCACTCGCCTCTACCTTGCCAAAAACGAAGAGGGGCAACGAAGAGCCTGAGGAGGAGGGTGGAGATGTGAACTATGGGACACAGCATTTTAATATGCAGGACATGGAGATGTGAAATGTGGGACACAGGATTTTAATATGCACGACATGGAGATGTGAAATATGGGACACAGGATTTTAATATGAGGACATGGAGATGTGAAATATGGGACACAGGATTTTAATATGAGGACATGGAGATGTGAAATATGGGACACAGGATTTTAATATGCAGGACATGGAGATGTGAAATATGGGACACAGGATTTTAATATGCACGACATGGAGATGTGAAATATGGGACACAGGATTTTAAGATGAGGACATGGAGATGTGAAATATGGGACACAGGATTTTAATATGCAGGACATGGAGATGTGAAATATGCGACACAGGATTTTAATATGAGGACATGGAGATGTGAAATATGGGACACAGGATTTTAATATGCAGGACATGGAGATGTGAAATATGGGACACAGGATTTTAATACGCGGACATGGAGACGTGAAATATGGGACACAGGATTTTAATATGTAGGACATGGAGATGTGAAATATGGGACACAGGATTTTAATATGCAGGACAAGGAGATGTGAAATATGGGACACAGGATTTTAATATGCAGGACATGGAGATGTGAAATATGGGACACAGGATTTTAATATGCAGGACAAGGAGATGTGAAATATGGGACACAGGATTTTAATATGAGGACATGGAGATGTGAAATATGGGACACAGGATTTTAATGTGCACGTCATGGAGATGTGAAATATGGGACACAGGATGTTAATATGCAGGACATGGAGATGTGAAATATGGGACACAGGATTTTAATATGAGGACATGGAGATGTGAAATATGGGACACAGGATTTTAATATGAGGACATGGAGATGTGAAATATGGGACACAGGATTTTAATATGCAGGACATGGAGATGTGAAATATGGGACACAGGATTTTAATATGCAGGACAAGGAGATGTGAAATATGGGACACAGGATTTTAATATGCACGACATGGAGATGTGAAATATGGGACACAGGATTTTAATATGCAGGACATGGAGATGTGAAATATGGGACATGGAGATGTGAAATATGGGACACAGGATTTTTTGAATATGCAGGACATGGAGATGTGAAATATGGGACACAGGATTTTAATTAAATATGGATTTTAATATGCAGGACATGGAGATGGATTTTAATATGCAGAAATATGGGACATATGGGACACAGGATTTTAATATGCACGACATGGGATGTGAAATATGGGACACAGGATTTTAATATGCAGGACATGGAGATGTGAAATATGGGAATGGAGATGTGAAATATGGGACACAGGATGTTAATATAGGACATAGAGATGTGAAATATGGGACACAGGATTTTAATATGCAGGACATGGAGATGTGAAATATGGGACACAGGATTTTAATATGGGACATGGAGATGTTATGGGACACAGGATTTTAATATGCAGGACATGGAGATGTGAAATAATATGGGACATGGAGATGTGAAATATTTTTTTAATATTTGGAATATGGGACGCAGGATGTTAATATGCAGACATGGAGATGTGAAATATGGGACACAGGATTTTAATATGAGGACATGGAGATGTGAAATATGGGACACAGGATTTTAATATGCAGGACATGGAGATGTGAAATATGGGACACAGGATTTTAATATGAGGACATGGAGATGTGAAATATGGGACACAGGATTTTAATATGAGGACATGGAGATGTGAAATATGGGACACAGGATTTTAATATGAGGACATGGAGATGTGAAATATGGGACACAGGATTTTAATATGAGGACATGGAGATGTGAAATATGGGACACAGGATTTTAATATGCAGGACATGGAGATTTGAAATATGGGACACAGGATTTTAATATGCAGGACAAGGAGATGTGAAATATGGGACACAGGATTTTAATATGCACGACATGGAGATGTGAAATATGGGACACAGGATTTTAATGTGCACGACATGGAGATGTGAAATATGGGACACAGGATGTTAATATGCAGGACATAGAGATGTGAAATATGGGACACAGGATTTTAATATGCAGGACAAGGAGATGTGAAATATGGGACACAGGATTTTAATATGAGGACATGGAGATGTGAAATATGGGACACAGGATTTTAATATGCAGGACATGGAGATGTGAAATATGGGACACAGGATTTTAATATGCAGGACATGGAGATGTGAAATATGGGACGCAGGATTTTAATATGCGGACATGACGATGTGAAATATGGGACGCAGGATGTTAATATGCAGACATGGAGATGTGAAATATGGGACACAGGATTTTAATATGCGGACATGGAGATGTGAAATATGGGACACAGGATTTTAATGTGCACGACATGGAGATGTGAAATATGGGACACAGGATTTTAATATGCACGACATGGAGATGTGAAATATGGGACACAGGATTTTAATATGCAGGACATAGAGATGTGAAATATGGGACACAGGATTTTAATATGCAGACGTGGAGATGTGAAATATGGGACACAGGATTTTAATATGCGGACATGGCGATGTGAAATATGGGACACAGGATTTTAATATGCAGGACATGGAGATGTGAAATATGGGACACAGGATTTTAATATGCAGGACATAGAGATGTGAAGTATGGGACACAGGATTTTAATATGCAGACGTGGAGATGTGAAATATGGGACACAGGATTTTAATATACAGGACATGGAGATTTGAAATATGAGATGCACAAGTAAGAAAGAGCAGTTTGGAGGGATTATCAGTGGCCTACTATTAAATAGAGAAATAAACAACTTGTTATTTTTTCCTTTTGTTAAAAATTATGGTGAAATAAACACAGCTTTTATGAGCCTTTAATACAATTTTGTACAATAGCATGTTCATATTTCACAGGTTTGCCTTCCAAGGGAGTGCCTTTTCCTGGGGATCAATAAGGGATTTTCACCCATTCTTCTCATGAGCCAAGGGAGGGTACTTCGGATTTCAAGTGACAGGGATGATCGAATGAAGGCAAAAATCAAAACCCAAAAAAATCCCCAGAGCTTCCAACAAAACCCAAAAAAATACCTGAAACAAAAATTAACACCAAAGAAATCCCATGTCGAATTTCTGAGCCATAAAAATTTCCAGAGAGCATTAAATGATATAACACGAAAAATAGAAACATTAGTTTTGAATACTGCAAAAAATCCCCACTTACATCAATCTACCAGATAGGATTGTGAAAGGGTAAAATGGGAATTGGGATTTGCCTTTTTATGTACTGAGAAAATGGGATTTACTGCACTGGGACTGGGATTTAACCACAGTGAAAGGGATAAACAATAAAAATGGGAATGGGTTTCTCTCCTTTCACGATTTTCAACTAAATTATTTGACACAATTGTTAAAATGGGCATATTCTTTTTTTAATAAAAGAAGTAATTTTCTGTACCAGTAGACCTCAGTGGACACATAAGAACATATCAGGTTTTTAATTTTTTGCCACCACATCCAATGATGCCACGCCACAATCCAGTTAACTGTTCTGGTTATTTTAGCAGTTTGTTGTCATGGGAATGATATATGAACATATTTGCCCATGACATAGATTAAAATAGAGTCCAATTTAAGAGGTGTTGTAACCGGAAAAAGCACTACAGTGACTGAAAATACTTTCCAGCTACAAATAAAATATAATGCAGTCATACACATGAAAAATTGTAAACTTAACTTTGACTAGGCTTGATTACCAGCTGCTGTTTGGGAAAAGAGCCCACACTCCTCCCCCGAACA